TTCCTCAAGATGGTACATTCTAGCATCTGGCCGGTGACTGTCCAAGAGACTGTGTTTTCTGCTGTTTACTGATCCGCCATCTAGTGTTTCTGTCTTATTCTATAGGTATTTTCAATTTGTAACAACCTAAATGCCCATCCCCTAAGGAATGGGTAAATAGATATGGTATTTTTATACAATAAAATGGGGGACTACTGCTCAGCCATAAAGAAGGGTAAACTGGAGACTTTTATCCATAAATGGATGCAACTTGAGAACATAAGTATGATACACATGAGTAAATATAGTGTCTTACAAGTGTGAGAAACCGAAAGAAACAGTGTATGTATATGTATATTAAAAGGATAGTTAAGATAATTATATTGCTGAGTCTCTGAGTTCACTGAAGAGGAAGATTTTTGCAGATATTCTTTGGACAATTGAATGCAGATGTCTTATGCTCTGGGTGAATGATTTTAAGATGACATTGTGCAATGTATGTACCATTGTTGCCCCAGTTGATGCGTTTTGAAATTTTGTTTTCTTTTTTCTCTCTGAATTAAAAAGGTTTTGAAAACATAATGATCCATTTTGATTTTAGTTTACTGCATGGTCAGAGGTGTGGGTTTAGTTTTGATCTTCGGCATATAGGAAGCCAGCTTTCCTAGCACTGTTCATTAAAAAGTCATAGGAAGTGCGGGTGGAGCTGGTCTATTGAAAGTGACAAATAGGTCCCATTGGGATGTGTTGGTTCAGTGCGTCCTACATAACTGAGTGGAGCCGTATGGTTGGCCACTTGGAATTTGGTTCACATCATGGGAAGCATGGGTTTCAGGATCTCTAGACCCTGAGGTCTGTGGGAGGAACTTGGGACAAGCATCAGAGGCTGAAGGGTGGCCCTGTGCTAAGAAGCAGCCAAAGAAGAGAAAGTTGGAAGTGCTGAGGAAGGAGTAGCTGGGTAGGAAGAGAATCAGGACGGGGAAGCTGTGGGAGTCTGGAGGAAGGCCTGATTTGCACTGTCTGGTGATCACAGGGACAGAGCAGACGCAGCACCTGCCAGACTGTATGTAACCTGGTGGGCCCTTGGCCATGGAGTAGGGATTCACATGGCCAGAGCTGAGGTGCAGTGAATCGAGACGCAGAGACAGACACTGAAGCGAGCCAGGCGTAGAGATGGGAACTCTGCCCACCCCATGCTTCTGCTCTGAGGCACAGGGCAGACTCTTTGTGTGGTTGCTTTGAGCCAGAATTGGTTTTTGTTTTTGTTTTAAGAATGGTTGTGGTTTTTTTTTTTTTTTTTTTTTTTTTTTTGCTAAAAGACTTCAGGACCCTGTTTGTGGCTGTAGGAACGTTTCTGGTAGCTCTGGGCCCGGCTGAGTAATGACTGATGATGAACCAAGGCCCCTGTGTGTGGCATTAGGTAGGCAGTGTGCTTATCCCAGCACCTTTTCTCCAGCCCTGTTCTTTACTTTTTTAAAATTTTATTATAGATTTATTTTAAAGGGAATAAAACAAAACAATAAAATGGAAACAAAACAGAACAATATTGTATTTCAAAAACAAGACAGAAAAAATGTACCCCCACAGTTGCTATATTGCATATTGTTGTTGATATGGGCAGAAAAATGACAAACTCCAAAAAAAATTTTTTTTTTCATTTTTGTTTTTATCGGTACCAGGGATTGAACTCATGACCGCCTGCTTGCAAGGCAGGTACATATGCCACTGAGCTAAATCCCCAGCCCCCAAAAAAATTTTTAAAAAAGCACTTCATTAGCTGAGCTCAGCAACAACACGGTCCCAGAAAAGCAGTGAGAAAAGTGTGCCCCGATCCAGGGGCTGCAGGGAATTATACAGTAGCAAGCTGCAAGAGGAGGGGTCTTAGGATCAGTTTGTCTCCATAGAAGGTTTAGTTTTGTAGGAACCTGGGAGGTGGAACAGGCAGTCACAGGAACCAGGGAGGCAGGGAGGGGTTGCATGGTGGGTATGTTACAAGGTTGTAACTTAACTGACAATTACAAAGTTTTACAGGAAGAGAACAAGTTGTAATAAGCACATTTTGGGTTTTTGAGGTTATAAGGGTTGTCCGACTACCGTCTTTAGGCCTACAGTCAATGAAACAGTACAAGCATTAAGTCTTTGTTTTTTAACCTCAGTAGCTGTCATTTCAGTCTGTGTTCCTCCAAATCCACTGCTTATGGGGGTGAGGGCTCTCCTTGTCTCCTGGCCCATGCCCTGCCTGGCTCACAGGAAGAGTTTGGCTTCTTGGTTCTCCGCTTGGTTTCTTGGTTCTCTGCTTGGCCTGCATCTGGCTCTGTTTCTGCCTTTGTTGTTCAGTCATAGTGTTGGATGACGGTGGTTAAAAAGCAAAACCATCTCATTTTGTCTTGAGCACAGTTTGGACTTCACACCTCTAATGAGCACTCAGCGTCGCCTGCCAGTGTGACCCCTCCCCGCCTATCCCATTCCTGGCAGCAGTTGGGCCTGAGGTCCTGCCTGGCCTCTCAGGCAGCTTCGCTTGTGCTGTGAGCCACCGTCTGGGTGAACATGTTCCCCTTGTGCCTTACTTGTTCTTCTGCACCCTTCCATGGTGGCGGTGGGCTCCGAGCCCCTTTGTCTGAGCCTCAGGACTCCACTTCTGAGATCTTAGCCGCCTCTCCTCGCTGGCTTCCATGGTGGCAGCCTTCTTTCCTTAGCCTGCAACACAGCTGTCCTTCCCTGTTGCTCACTCCTGGCAGCTGGCTGTCACCCAGGAGCCTCCAGGGGCTGCTCTGTTGTGAATCCAGTAACTTGTGTGTAGTGAGCCCACTCTTTCCTCTAGCCTGCGGTCGGCCCGTTAAGATCCCTCTGTCCAGAAGCTCTCCTGGTTTCCCTGGTGCGCTCCCCCCCCCCCTTGTGCTCCCTTTTCTCCTGGCCTGCACACACGGCTCTCTGTGCGCCTTCCTGGGTTTTCACTTCCTCAGCACCTGCGCTCAGGACTGTGACGCCCACTCCATGCTCTCCTGGAACTCCTTGTACATCAGTCTTGCTGTGATCCTTTTCTTAGTTCTAGATCAAACTACAACTCAGGCTCCATGAGCTTTTGGATAGATGGCCTCTTCACGATTGTTAGGAAAGCTCTACAGACTCAGCTTAGTGCATTTCTTCCGAAGACCATGACAACTGGGTTCTGTTGGTCCCTCCCTCTGCCCTGCCTTGCCCACACCCTGCCTGGGCAGGTGTCAGGGCCTGTGGCCTCTCCCTGCGTGGACAGAGCCCTTTCACATGGGCACTATCCTGGCGTCCTTCATGTCTCTCCCAGCAAGTATTCTGGTGGTTCCTCCCTCTCTTCAGTTCTCCCAGAAGTGACACCAGTCTCTTCCTGTCAGTGCTGTGGTGCCCCTGGCAGCCTCTCAGTGCCCACCTCTCGTACTGTTCTCTGGCTATTTGCTGTGTTGTTCCTGGTCTGCCTAGAAAATCCTTCAGGGTCCAGGGCAAGGGCTGTCTCTGTGAAGTCTCCGAGTCTAGAGCCGAGTGTATGGAGGATTATGTGTAGAGCTTGGCTGTCCTGACTTAGTGACAGCAGTCATTTCTGGAGAACTGGTGTGGGGACACTTGCATCTGTTGCTGTGTTTCTGCTGGAAGCCAACGGTTAAAAGCATGAGGTCCCCTCCCAGCCCCTGTGCAGCCAGTCAAACCCAGGGCCTTCACACTGAGCCACACCCCTGGCCCTTTTTTGTTTTTTTGACAGAATTTCGGTATGTTCCCCAGACTGGGCTCAAATTCATGGTCCTCCTGCCTTAGCCTCACAGTGCTGGGCTTACAGCTGTATGACACCAATCTAGCCAAGCACATGAGCTTTGGTGACGGTCCCGCTTTTACTGTTTCTGTAACTTTGCACTGATTATTTACTGTCTCAGTGTCAGTTAAATCTGGGGCTTAAATGTGCTTGCCACACAAGAAACAAACCATAAGTGGTAGCCACTGCCACTGCAGATGTAAGGTTCCCCCCTTGCAGCCCCTGGAGCTGTGCTCTGCTGTCCTCCAGGTGGTAGAGTGAGGCTCAGCCCCCCCCCCCCGGGTAGCCCTACTGCTTCTCAGTCAGGTGGCAGTTGGCCACTGTGGCTTCTTCTGCCTTTTGTCCAGAATTTCTATAAGCTGAGTTAAATGAGTTGGAAATAAAGATGGATCTGGAGCTCCAGAGAGGCTGAAAAGGAAATGTGTACGTTGCTGTTTGCATGAAGGTAGTAACTAAAGTCGTTCCCTTCCCTTTGAAGCCCAGTCATCTGTGCAGCAATGAGCTATGTATTTCCTGTGACAGATAATTGTTATGTCTAATGGTGACTTAAACTCTTGCACGGTAGAAATCAGCACATGTTTGTTCTCCTTCCCCAGCCTGGCTGTGAGCTCTTAGAGGGCCGAGAACTGACCTTTCTAAGTGTGCTCTAACCTCTGCCCTTTGATGGGCCTCATTTTGTTTGCTGCAAGTTAGCACTTCATTTTCATGAAAGGGATTCTCAGCCATTTTTAAGTAATGATTGACCAACCAAGATGATTTTATTGTTACTTTAAATTGCATTAAAACATTTTATTCACATATTCACAATAAAATTATGACGTCAAACATATTTTTAAAACTGCATCTCAACCAGGCATGATGGTGCACCATTGTAATTCCAACACTCAGAAGGCTGAGGCAGGGAGATCGCTGTGAATTCTAGCCGAGTCTGAATTACACAGCAAGACCCTGTCAAAACCCAAATCAAATGAGCAAACAAAAAAGTGCCTCATCTCCTCTGTCACTGCATCCCATCTCTGCTCCACAGGGGTCGTCCTTGCTGGTGCTGTCTAGGGCAGGAGGCTCTAGTCTTTGCTCTCCTCTTCCCCTCTCTCGTTTTGCAGTTGAAGAAACTGAAGGCCACATCACAGTGGTTGTTCCTTTTTGTTTTTTAATCTGACAAAATATTTTTCAAGTTCAGCTTGGTTGAGACTCGTGATCTGCGCTAACTCCAGTCTACACACTTTATGTTTGTCTTTGGCAGAGCTGAGAAGCTGCAGCTGCTGAACCACAGGCCAATGACTGCCGTGGAGATCCAGCTGGTGAGTGGGGGGCTGGCCGGCCGATGTGTGGGGCCCGGGCTGTGGTCAGTGGAGGAGCTGTCTGCGACCCATCAGGCAGGGGCAGGGGGACAGGGAGAGGAAAAGGGAGAGGATGTGAGTGTCGTGAGTCTCTCCCATGGGACTTGGTGGCTCCTCTCCTCCAATGCACTAGCCCTGGCATTACCTCCCTACAGGGGTGCCACTGACAGCTGTCCTAAGACACTGTCCTGCTCCCAGACAGCTCCGCTTGGTTCCTCTTGCTCTCCCAAGAGCTCTGCTTGCTCACCTCCTGCCCTGGCCTGAACCTCAGCACCCTTCCTTTCCTTCAGCTCAGGCCCATCTCTCGCTCCCTCCCGACTTTCCTGCATAGCACTGGTTTCCACATCCTTTGTGAACCCAGCTGTTGTGCTTCCCTCCCTGCCTTTGAGAGCTCCTCCAGCACTGGCTCCAAGACACAGGGACTGCCTTCCCTGTGTGAGGGGACATGCAGGTCGCTGCCCTGTGGGCTCCCAGGGCAGGTCCTCCACCACCCAGGCAGAGAACGGCTTATCCAACTCCAGTCTAGAGAACTGATGGGACAAGAAGAAAGCAGTTTCCAAAGTTTCCAAAGTCAGTGTAGACATACTTGGCTCTGTCAAATTCCTTTAGAAAAGCATGGAAGAGAATGGCCAGAAATACCTCTAATCTTGAGCTTCTTAATGAAAGTTTTTTCAAGGGTAGTATTTAAACTTTGCCTAAAGCATTCATTTCCTTCATTGTTTCTGTCCTTCAGAATATACACAAATTAGATTAGAAAAATTCCTTCCATGAAGGGTGTCTTTCTAGGGGAACTGGCCTTGCGGCTAAATAGAGAGCCCTCTTTTTGTCTCCTATTATTCTTATGCTTTAGACTGTTGATTTAACTTACAGGAGAGAAAAAGCAAACAAAACAGCTAAAAACCAATCTCTTCCCTTGGGTTAAAGATCACATGTCATGGCTTCTCCAGCTCTAATCAGCAACACATGTTCCCAGGCTGAGGGACAGATGGCGAGGGGAGACAGGAGGACAGTATAATCTCGCTGCAGTCTGTAGAACGCTAGCGTTGCTTGCATTGCTCGGCTATCAGGGGTCCTCAGTCCAAGAGGCCTCATCTGTGTCACTTCAGATGTATTCACCCTGGTGAAGGGTGAAAGGACTTGGGTTCACTCTTCCGTCGCCTAAAGGATCGGCGAGTGGCTGGCCAGGGCTTTTCCGAGCCTTCCCATTCTCCCCTGGTCGCATCCTGTGGCCTTCAGTGCCAGGCAGGGTTCATGGAGAGGCAGAGAGCAGTGACACAATTTGATCTGGCCCACAGATCAATCCGTGGGGTGTATCTGGAGGAGGAACTGGGATGATAAAGAACGAGGGGGGGGGACAAAGAGAGATGGAGACAAGTTGAGGAGTCCAATCAAGTCTCGTTTATTCAGGAAGAGGTTGCAGCTTTTATGGGCCAAGGGCGGGCTGGTGGGACAGGAAGAGGCTACGGGGTGGTTTCTGATGGGTCATCTTCACGTCTGGGTATGTGACATGAGCAGGAGAGGATTATGGGTAATGTAGGCAGGTGCATTATGTGCCCATAGGGGAGAGAGGCGAGGAGGCAGCAATGGGGCTGTCACGCCGCTCCCTACAACAATTTATTGGGCAGCTCATATGATGATGGAAGCTGAGCTTCACAGAGGCATCTGCAGAGCCCAGGATGTGAGCAGCACAGCTCAGTCTGGGTCTGGGGGCTCTGTGGCCAAACCCCAGGAATCTGGGGGCTACCGTTGTAAGCCATACCTGGCAAGAGGGCAACAATAACGGCATCTGGATTGCTCCCTCCACAGAGCAGGCAGCCCTGGCACAAATGGTTGCTTCTTAGCAGTAGCACCAGATCCCCCTCCCTGGGATTTGGCTACAGAGGTGGCAGGTTCTTTACCAAGCTCAGCATGGAGGAGAAGAAGCGAAGGCTTCCCACAGCTGGTCTGAGACTCTCCCCACGTGTTCCCCAGCCCGCAGAAGCAGGCCCACTGTCCATGCGTGTCAGTGTGCAGCCCGGGCCCAGGCATCTCGTAGGCTGAGCTTCCCAAAACCTCTGCCATGAACTGTGCCTGCCCGCCAGCTGAGGCTGCAGGAAACTGGGTGGCCACGGGACCCTGCCCCCACCACCATGGGCTCACGTGAAAGGGTTTCAAGCTCTATGCCCTGTAGCCAAGGCACTGATCCCAGCCACCTCACAGCCACTGTCCTAAGCAGCACTCCCCTGGAGGCCCGTTAGTGACTCAGTGGCTTTGAAGTCTTGAGGGCTGGCTTACAAAACAGCGTCACATCTTCCTGGTTGGTGCCCACAGTAGGCTGTGCCTTCATTTCACAATAGAGGAAGTTCAGAGCGAAGAAGTGAAGACACCGTGCACACATCTGTGATCTCAGTCAGCACCCTGGGGGGCTGAGGCAGGAGCACAGGTATGCCCAGCCTGAGCAACTTGGCACGAGTTTGTCTCAAAAATGGGCCGAGAATGTAGCTCAGTGGGAAGGTGCTGGGTTCAATCCCCAGTGCAGCCAAAACAAAACAGAAAGGTTAAGTGAACTGCTGTGGGACAGATAGCTGCACGGGATCGCCAGGGCTGCAGGCTGAGGATCCCTTATTCTGGATGCTCGGACCACTGTGTTTAGGGTTTCCGATTTTTTTGGAATATTTGTGTTTGGGAGGGATGGGGCCAAAGTCTCACAGAATTTCTTTCTGTTTAATATGTACCTTGTACACATGGACAGAAGGAAATTTCATGCAGTGCTTTCAGTGTGCTTGCATCTTGGCTCGAACCTGTCATACAATCAGATGTAGAGTTTCCCACCTGAGGTGTCACGTCAGTGCTCAGAAAGTTTCAGAGCTTAGTATAGTGGTGCATGCCTATATAATCTCAGTTACTCAGAAAGCTGAAGCAGGAGGATTGCAATTAGAAGCCAGCCTAAGCAATTGTATGAGATTCTATCTCAAGACAAAATAAAAATCTGGCATGGGGGCACACGCCTGTAGCCCCAGCACTTAAGTTTGAGGCCAGCCTGAGTTTACATAGTGGGTTCAAGGGCAACGTGGAGGAGACCCTATCTCAAAAAAAGACAAAAGAGCTAGTGATACATCTCAGTGATAAAATGTTTGCCTACATTTGTGTACTGTGGGGGTGGAGAGAGTCCATGGTTACCTGAGCCTATTGCTTGACACAAGCCACAGTGTGTCCAAGATGCAGGGCATGGCCTTTGGCTTCTGGAAAAGTATAGCCTCTCCTCAGGAGTATGCAGTGGAACAAGAAGGGCTGGTGTCCTCGCAGGAGCTGGCATCCAGTATCAGACACCTTGGCCCCACCTGCTGACACCCAGCACCGAGCTTCTGCATATTCAGGTGTCTTTGTCCTGGCTTTCTGTGTGCAGGGCTGGAGTAGCCCTAATGGCAGTGACCCCAAGGGGGCCTCAGATGCTGGACACTCAGGCTGGGGTGTGGCTCAGTAGTGGGGCACTTGCTGAGTACGTGCAAAGCCATCCCCAGTGCTGCCCCAAAGTACACAGACTGTGGAGCTCTGCACCAGCCTTGTGTACTAGCTGTGTATACTGATGATTCTAAATTTGGAGACATTCTTTTTTTTCTGTGGACCAAAGAATGAAATTGGGTAGTTCTCTTGTTCTTTATTCTTTAGGGGCAGTCTGCATGAGCTTACTGCTTTTATAGGCCCTGATTTGGCGGAGGTGGGGGGTAACCAGGAATCAAACTTACGACCTTGCATTTGTCAGGCAGGCACTTATACCACTGAGCTATATCCCCAGCCCTATAGGTCCTGATTTGTACGTTTGATTTTTGAAATGTACTTTATGAATGTTGTTTCCTGATGATAAAACAGTTGCAGTTTACTAAGCCACTGACTGTAGAAAGGGGCTGCTGTGTTGGGCAGCAAGACCCCTTGATTTACTTAGGGTATTCTGTGTCTGGGTACTGAAGGCTTCTCTGGTTGTGGAACCAGTTTTCAGCCGAGTTGGGTTAAGACAGATGTATTGTCTGTAGCATGAGGTCATCAGATTGAGGTGTTTTCCAACATTGTAAGCCTGTAAAAAATTTTTTTGGGGGGGCTGGGGATTTAGCTCAGTGGCATAAGCACCTGCCTTGCAAGCAGGCAGTCGTGAGTTCGATCCCCAGTACCGATAAAAAGGAAAAAGACAAAAAAAATTTTTTTTCAAGATAGTCTCATATATAATTTAAGTTGGCCTGGAATTCACTGTGTAGCCAAAACTAACCTGGGACCTGTGGTGGTCCTCCTGCCTCAGCCTCCCGAGTGAACGCCTCCATCCCTGGCAGTCCTTGCTTTACTTAAATCTGCCAGGATTTTATGTCTGGAAGTGCATCTGGTACCAGTGCCCAATTTGAGATGCTGTGGGAAATGTGAACAAGGTTAACTAACTTGGCTGCCTGCATGTGGCTTTTAAAAAGGTGATTGGCCATGCTGTGCTTAGAAGGAAGGCTGAAAAAACTGGCCTATGACTGAGGGTGTCTTTTATATTCCAGTCTCTGTCTCATGTCAGAAAGCAGACCTTAGGAGGGCCTGTGTAGGGTGGCACTCTGCATCCTCGGGAAAACCAAGGCCGTGTGGAGTGCCTGGCCAGCTTCCCATTGCTCGGGCAGAAGACCTGAGAGGATCACCTTACGGAGGAGGAGAGCTGTATTTTTGGCTCATAGTTTTGGTGGTTTCGGTCTATGGTTCCCTATGGCAGCTAGGAAGCAAATACAGGGGTCAGGGTCCCCTCTAAGGGCACACTAGCCCCACTGTGGTGGTTACTTGATGGTCAGATGGAGTGGGGACACTCAGCTGAGTTGAATCATTATTCTTTGGGCATAGGAAGCCCACTTGAAGGAGGCTTGATGTTGGAACCGTATAAAAGGAGGATGGGAGGGCAGGATTTCAGGAAGAGCTTCCTTGCGGCTGATTTTCCTTGGAGCAGTTTTCGCCATTCTCTTGGGAGAAGCTCTGCCTTCATCTCTGCCTTGGATGCTGGCTTCTGGCTGCCAGGGCTGATTTTGCAGCTTCCAGGTTGACCTCCAGGCACAAGACCCTTCGTCTCCATCTCAGTCCTTCTGGTGTGGACACAATGGGACAGTGCCATGGCTCCAGCCTTTGCATGGACCCTTGGGTCTTCAGCATGCAGACAGATGTTTACACTCGTCCCCATGTGTGACTCTGGGTGGCCACTGTAGGCCAGTCCCACAGATTGCTGTGCCCTGCGTTCAGTGTGGTTCAGATTGTGTGCCGTGTTTCAAGGAGCCTGGCCGCAGCCCTGACTGATGACTTACCTTCCAATGGTTGGATGTCCTCCCCGTAGTGCCCGGGGTGCTCTGCCCAGGGGTGCATTTGGGATCTGAACTGCAATAGGTTTGTGTTCAATACTGGGCTGTAGATTTGGGCGGCCAGGCTTGGAATTCGAGTTGTGTGCCTTGCTTTGTGATGAGCAGGGGTGCCACTCCAGACCCGCGAGGCCCCTGAGGAGTGCCCGCGAGCAGTTGGGATGGCCAAACTGAGAAGGAAGCTGTGAGCCATTTGGTACCGAATGGTGGATGTGTGCCATGAACTCCAGAGAGTATAGCGTGGGACTTCACCACCTGGAGGTGACTTCTCTTTGTGTATTACAGCAACTGCCTCTTGGTATGGATGTGGGTAGCGATAGGAAAGTCAGGGTTTTCTTTCCTCCTCGTTCCCGTTGTGAGCATTCATGTCGGCCCAGCACAGTGGGGCACCTGGGTGGAGAGGACCTGGGGACCCCGGCACTGACCTCCAGCCGGGCGGGGCAGGCTGGGCAGAAGCATGTGTCTGGTAATAGCAGCGTGGTCTTTCCTCACACAGATGGTGGAGGAGACGGAAGAGCGGTTCACGGAAGAGGAGCAGATCGAAGCGCTTCTCCACACCGTCACACACATCCTGCCTGCCGAGCCAGAGGTGGAGCAGATGGCCAGCACCGAGGCTATGGAGGAGGAGGGCCCGGCCTAGGGAGCCCGGGCAGTGGGTGTAGAGGGTCCAGCCGCCTCTGGACCATTCAAAGGATTGTTTGTTTGCTTCCCCGCCTCAATCCCAACTGCCTGCTTTCATGGTTAGTTGGGAGAAACCACAGAAATAAAGTGAATAGAGACAGTTAGACCTGGAGAAGAAACACAGTGAAGCCAGACTGAGGTGAAGGGGCGGGGTGCTGGAGGGAAGACAGTGACTGGCCTTTGCCACACGCGGGAGCCCTGTGTGTACTCAGACGCGTGGCCCTGGTGAGCTGCATCGTGACTGCCTTCATCTGCTTTCCTGGAGCTCCAGGCAGCACGAGTATGAAAGCCTGGTTAAAAGCTCAGCACCCAGAGTGTCTGGTGTTGCTGGAGGTTAGGGTGAGCCTGAAGGAATTTCCTGACAGTGGCCATGGAAATGCAGATGAGCGGAGGCCAGGTATGGCCAGGCTGCCGCCAGGCCTTGCCTATGGACTCACTGACTGGTCCTAGGTGTTCACCACTGGCTCTCCAGACCGCAGGACTGCTGCATCAAGCACACCGGGGCTTCCAGAGCGCCCCATTTCCTGTCCTGAGCCAGCCCCTGGTTGGGCAGAAGGTGGCACAGACCATGGAAGGCTCACTGCATAAGCAAAATCATTTGCCTCTTTGAAGGGCATCATTAGGCTGTTCTTTCATGAACAGAGCAGGAAACCCAAGAGCAACTAATTTGTGTTTGCTGTTACAAGGCTGCATCTGTTTTGAATTGAAAACACTAATTACTGCATGAAGACCTAGTCAGGCTTCCCAAAGTTTAGAACTTGCAGGCATGTGGGCGACCATCTGCAATCACTGCTTCCTGTTTGGGGAGGGAAACACCGGTGAATACTGATCCTCCCATTGGTGTGCATTTTGGCCTAAAATTTCTGGGCCTTGAGTAACTTCTAGTCCCCTTGTGAATCCCAGTTTATTTCAAGCCACCTCCCTACACAGTTGACCTCTGTCGCTGACTTTACAGAATAGCTGAAGTCTCTAGAGGCAGTGTCAGCGCTGCAGGTTAGGGTTAAATCTCTCTCAAGTGTGAGGTGTGAACGGATTTTAACCTCATTAAAAATGTATTAGATGGTTTCTCTTGATGGATTTAAGGCTTACACAGTGAGCAATTGCTTCCAGCTGTTGTCAACTTTTGCTTTTTCTTTGAAGAATTTGCATTATCATAGATTGAGAAATAAAAGGACATCTGACTTAAAAGCTAAAACGTCTGCTTTTTAAAAAAAAGTTGACATTCTAATTTTTTAAAAAATTTGTTTCAATGTTTGGGACCTACCCTGATGGACGTGTTTTGAAATTTTCAGTTTTTTATTTTTTCTTTTTCCCCTTGAAATAAAATGGAGGTGGGAAAAAAATAAACTACTATAATCTGAAAAAAAAAAAAAACAAAAAAAAAAAACCCTAATTTGGGACCTGAATTTAGCCTCAGTAAAACCAGACCCTGGAAGACCTTTATAAGAAACTTACACTTTTTTAATGTTTGTGCCATAGCCGTAGCAAACATTTTGAAAAGAACAGTCTTACTTTACATAAGAAATCCATACATCACTGAAGCCCTCAGGAGATGCTCCATGTAGCCAATGTAGCTAGCACTATGTCTTTGTGACAGGGTCTGCAGGATATGCAGGGGGGCAGCCCCGTGAGCGGGTGACCAGACTAATAATCTGGTTAGCAGCAGCTATTGCTACATGTGACTGTGTCCCAAGCACATTGGCTGATTTGAGCCCCATGGTAAAGACAGCCTGTTGTAGTCAGGGTTGTGCAGAGAACAATTATAATCAGGTCACAGAATTTATAATGTTCATGATGGTCACCCAGAGTTCAACACAAAGTGCAGGAAATCTGTCCACAACAGAATAAAAACATAGAATATTCAGCCAAGGGCCTGAATCCCACAGCAGTGTCCTGCATGAGTCCAGATGAAGACCCAGAGCCCACAAGAAAGACTCACGCCAGTGTTTTTCACAGATCTGTGCGGGGAAGGCCCAAAGGTCAGCAGTGGAACCTGGAAAGTCTATGTCAGCGGGGTGAAGGACCTGTGCTGGTAGGTTGAGGGTTTTACATTGGAGCCGAGGAATAATGCTCATTAATAAAGACCAAGGCTGTCCTGAAAAGCACCACAGCCATCAGTGACACAGGTCCTGAGCTCCTCCAATGGTAACAGTCTAGGACATGCCAGAAAGCCAGCATGAGTGTGTCCTGGAGGTTAAACGGCATATGTCTATTCCTCTGGAGCCAGGAAGCGATGCTGGATGTAAGGACCAGAGCTCCCCCAAAGTGAACCACAGCCACTCTCACCATCAAGGTCCCAAGCGGCTCTGATGACAGTAGTCGAACTCACTCTGGGAAAGTTAGTCATGATGCGCCCCTCCAGGAGAACCAACGGCTCAAACAGCAACACTTAGAGAAATCCACAACGCCTCATCTTCTCCACATCTCTTATTTATGCTGGTAACTTTCCTCAGGTGGAACATCTACCCTCAGCACCATGCTGATGTAATTCAGCTGGCATTAAGTTGACCATCAGTTCTTAATCTATAACACAGTCCCTGTAAAACAGAAGGACATGATGCTGGCATTCTTTCATCCAGATTAAAAAGCAGGCTGAGATACCCAGCTAACGAGGACCCCAAGAGACCAGAGGCCACATGCAGAACTATTTACTGGACCCCAAAGAACGTTTAGCATGTCCTGGCATTGGTGGATACCAGAGCCGAGCCCGCTGGTTTAATGCAGCCCACACCACTTCACAGAATTAGTGCACATGGAAGAGGGTGTGGACCCTCTACGCTACATCACCGACTGAAGGGTCCAGGGGAAACAGGGTATCGAGTGCTTGGCCCCATGCCCTGGTAATGTTCCCCAGGTACCAAATACATACTGGAGATGGACACTGGTGCTCGCCTCAGCATCACCCGATAAATCCGCTTGCAAATCCACTCAGTGAAACCACAGTCCAGGGACACCACAGCATGCCCCAACTCTCACAGACTACACGGGTTGTGTGTGTGAGACAGTATTGGCTACTGGGGTATCATGAAGAAACAGGACAGAGCAACTTAGGAGAGCCAGAGGTGTCACCAGGCACATAGCCCTTTCAGCTCCCTGGGGTGACCTATATGGACCAGACATGGCAAGGACTGTAGACTGCTGAGCATTGAACACAGTGGCTCCGTTGCATGTGGCAGAGTCCTGCCACATGGAGCGAGCCATGCTCTGTGTCACGGTTGCTTCATGATAATGATTATGTTAACCTCTGCCATACACATTTAAATACAGTCTGAAGAAAATTTTGCTGACCTGGGTGTGGACCATCAATGAAGACAAGGTCCAGGGACCTGACTTGTCTGTCAGATTCTTGGGTGTTCTCTAGAGGAAAGTAATTCCCGATGCCATTACTGGTCAAATCCAGGCAATCCCAGACCCCAGACGTAGGCCTACCTGGGCCTGTCAGGCTTTTAACAAACGATCATACCACACCTGGCTACCCTACCGTGCTCATACTAGAGGACCCAAAAGAGCATGACATGGGCCTTGACAGACACAGCAGAAGCTGCTTTCCAAGGCTCAGAATGGTTGCACAGGTACAAGCCATCCAACCCCATGACTGCCTTGTCTTTACCCCAACAGTGAGTATGGGTGACATTGGGTTTGACTGGGGCCTATGACAAAAAGAAAAGAAAAAACACCTATTAGAATTGGGTCACAGTTGTTAAAAAGAGCAAAAGCCACTGTTACCTGATTAAAAAACAATGGCATGTACTTGCTTTGCTTTTGCCTGTAAAAGTACGGGGGGCAGACAGTAAGAATGCAGACCAGCTATCTGGTTGAGGGCTGGGTCCATATGTGGACATCTTGTCCCAAGAGTAGCATGGCCCAGCCCCCCCCCCATATCTTGGGGGACACAGTTACAGTAGAGGACCTCCTTTTTGTCCAGACCTTTGACAACTAAACCAGGATGGTGTTGAGACCAGTAATGTATAACACAAAAAACACAGAAGATGACAGATTACAGTTTATAATGCTTCACCCTTGTACAGAAGAAAAGGAGACCTCTGGCTGCCTGATATACCAGTGGATACAGCCATGAGCACAGCCCTACAATAACCCAGGCCTGGTGGCACACACCTGGTAATCTTGGTACTCAGGAGGCTGAGGCAGAAGGATTGTTGCAAGTTCAAAACCAGCCTGGGCTACAAAGTGAGCCCAAGGCAGCCTGAACTATATAGTGAAGTCCTGTATCAAAAAGATAACAAAGGAAGGAAGGAAGATAGAAAACCCCACAATAGACAACAGTTACTCTCCAGCCCAGACCCAAAACTCTGATTTAAAACCAGAATGGACAGGCTCAGCCAGTGAGCAGAGTTGCAGGCAATGCGGCTACTTGTACATGCAGACAGTTGGGCTGTAGTTAGGAGGGCTGCTGCTCCGTCTACCAAGACTAACGGCACCACCCCTTGTACTTAAGGAGTGTGGCTGAACAACCAACCACAGAGTGTCGTGTGTCAGGACGTAAGCCCCTCCCTGCACCCAGAACGGCTTCACAGATGACTCCGCAAGGGTCGTGGCACCTTGGCTCCATGAAAAACCAAAGCACCACACAGGCAGGGGCACAGCGATGACATCTAGACATGACTCTGCTGAGTCAAAGGCTGCGACAGGCTGTGTCCACAGCGTGCCCATGCAGAAGCCTCACAGGTCTCTGACGCTGCAGGCTGGCCACCCCCACCCGCACCCTAGCCAGGGTGCTGCACCCAGGGACCACGTGTATTTCCACTATCAGACCCCCTACAAGTGGGACACTGTGTACCACAGTGGCTTCACACTCAACAGGTGTGCTGGTGGCTTTATCTGATGGCCTTGATGTTACCAAGGGCAGAGACTATAGACCTCGCTCTCCAATTTAAAGCCCTTACTCAACACACAGGCCAGGCCCTAAATGTCACTAATCACGTTGTGATGGTGTGCACAGATAAAACTTCCCAGATAAAAGAACCGTGGTGTTGCAGAATATCATAGCCCTTGATTTGCTAACTATAGCAGGCGCTCGCGCCCTTTTTCATATAAAGTATTACATTTATAACACTGACCACAGTGTTATTAATACAAAAAGCCTTATTAAAAAATACAGGCAGGGTCTGGGAATACAGCTTAGTGGCACAGCGCCTGCCTTGCATGTGTGAGGTCGTGAATTTGATTCCTGGTACTAATAACAATAGATGGAGAGATGTCTGCCATCCAAGCTTCCATGCAAGACCCACCCACCCCATGGTAAAAGTCCTTGAGAGCCATCTGGCACTGGGTGGCCATGAACTGTGCCATGACAACAGTAAGGTCAGCAGTACTCTGCTGTTTGCTTTATTGTTGCTGGGTTTGTTTTTGTTTTTGTCTTTTTGAGACAGGGCCTCACTATGCAGTTCAGGCTGGCCTTGAGCTCACTTCGTAGCCCAGGTTGGTCTTGAACTCACAGCAATCCTGCCTCAGCCTCCTGAGTGCTGGGATTATAGGCATGTGCAACCCCCTGGCTTGTTGCTGTGTTCTTTGTGCACTGGAGTCTGCCCTGTGGGCCACTCACCAGAAGTGACGTCCCCAACATCAGGGGTGGGAGGTGGAGAGCTACTGCTTCAAAGCTCAGGGCTTCTGAGGCCATGTAAGGGCAGGACCCTGCTGTCCAGCACAGGTGCAGGAGGGGGTTCCCTTGTCTAAACTTGGACTTAACGCAGATGAGGGCGTATGCACCACAAGGAGGAAAGGTTTCTTTGGCTCACAGTTTGTAGAGGTTTCAGTCATGGTCGGCTGGCTCCAAGGCAGGGTGGTGTGGCAGAGGGGCATTGTAGTGGAGAAACAGTCCATGGCAGGGTAGGCAGGGGAGAGCAAGCAAAGGCCCTCAGCAATTCCTTTCTGCCCCTTTATACCCTATCCAGGCTAGAGTTAAGGTGGGGCCACGCCAGTCAGTGGGCTGATTTAGTCATCCCACACCTTGATCCCAGCACCACACACTACATCCAGTCACCTCTGGAAAAAAACCCAACTATGAGTGTTGGGGGGGTGGGTGGCATCCAGACAAAACCATAGCAGTCTGTGATCCACTTTGAGTTTGCTTTGGGGAAAGGGTTAAGGCCTGTGTCTGGGTTCTCTCTCTGTCTCTCTCTCTCTCTCATGCATGTGGGTGCCCAGTTGTTCTGGCACCCTTTGGATAAAGGCTAC